CTAACAAATAGCCTACCAAAATGTCGGAAATTATAAGCAGAAACATGTATAAATCAGGCATCAACAAAAAAATCCTGCACCCCCGTCAAAAAAATGGTTCTGCTGTCTCTGACTGTAGCTAGCCTACAGCACATTCCTATATTAGCTTTAAAGCCAATTTAAGCTTGATCTGTAAATGTGGTCGGAGACTCCATATGGAGGGTGTGACGCAATTGCGGAGCCTCCAGAGGCATGACCTCTGTAGCTCAGCTGGTAGAGCACGGCGCTTGTAACGCCAAGGTAGTGGGTTCGATCCCCGGGACCACCCATACACAAAAATGTATGCACGCATGACTGTAAGTCGCTTTGGATAAAAGCGTCTGTTAAATGGCATATTATATTATATTATTATGACAAGGCCAATTTGAGCTCTGTACCGCATCTCTGTGCCCCTCCCAAATTATGTAACAATGTTGAGGGCTCCATATAGTTCCACATTGACATGATTGGTTGATGGTACTTGGGGGCTGTATAAACACAAACGCACTTCCTTGGCAACTTCCTTCACAACAGCTCTGCGCTGCTCTACAAAGCACATGAAGTATGAATTCCATGACTTCTAGAGTGGCCTTATCACTGTAAATGCTGCTATATCACTGTAAATGCTGCATGGCCAATGCAGACAGCGGATTGACCATGCAGTGCCTTTTAGGGTCTGGTGCAGGCCTCAGATGTTCACTTTATCACACGGTCAGGCAGTTGCAGATGGGTTATTAGCAATTGCAGGCAGGTGCTGGTAAAAGGCACTGCATGGTCAATCCGAAGTCTGCATTGGTCATGCAGCATTTACAGTGATAAGGCCTCTGCAGAAGTCAGGGCATTCATACTTCTTGCTTCACTGAGCAGCGCAGAGCAGTTGTGAAGGAAGTGAGTTTGTGTTCATACATGACCTCCTGCCCTCACCTACCATCAACCAATCATGTCAATGTAGAGCTATATGGAGCCCTCCGCATTGTTACAAAATTTGGGAGGCGCATGGTGATGCGGTACAGGGCTCAATTTGTCCTCTGCGTGCCTCCACGATTGCATCACACCGTCCATACTGCGCCTCCGACCACATTTTCAGATCAAGCATAAATTGACTTTAAACAAAAAGCTGACCTGTGCACCACTAGCTGGCACAACATAACCTCAGATGATGTAAAATAGGGTCTAAGTTGCAACGTATGCTAATATAAAAAATATCGGAGTTTACGCGTTTTTAGATAGGCCTAATTGACGTTTTAAAAAAATTACAATTTTTATTTAACCATTTTGTTTTCAAGAAGTTATAAATAGTTTGGCAACCCTGTTTTGTAAGCTTTTAAATTATATAAATCTCAAGAGTTTTTATATTTTACACTGATGAAGACATGGATGTCTCATGGTAAGGTGGGCTATGGAAAATAGGTCAACTTTGAGCACCTTCGTTTCTTGAATGTTTTGGCATTCAGGTCGAAAAAAATGTCACGTTCTGAGCACTTCTACAATGGGCAAACATGTATGGAAGATTTCGTTCAAATCAAAAGGTGTGCTGCAAAAGGGGTGCTTTTTTTTTTTTGCATTAGACTCTTGCAGTGTGTGTGTAGGCAGAAACTCAAACAGGAAGTACCCATGCTAAGGACTATTCAACGCTGGTCTGATAAATCGGAATCCACGCTTCAAGATTGTTTTGATCACGCGGACTGGGATATGTTCTGGGTAGCTTCAGAAAATAATTTAGACGAATACACTGAAACGGTGACTGAGTTTATCAGGAAGTGTATAGGTGAGGTTGTGCCCACTGTGACCATTAAAACGTACCCTAACCAGAAACCGTGGATAGATGGCAGCATTCACGCAAATCTGAAAGCGCGAACCACCGCATTCAACCATGGCAAGGTGACTGGGAATATGGCAGAATACAAACAGTGTAGCTACTCACTCCATAAGGCAATTAATCTGGCAAAACATCAGTATAGAGACAAAGTGGAGTCGCAATTCAACGGCTCAGACACGAGACGAATGTGGCAGTGTCTACAGACAATCACGGACTACGAAAGGAAAACCAGCCACGTCGCCGACACCGAAGTCTCGCTTCCAGACAAGCTAAACACCTTCTTCGCCCGTTTTAAGGATAACACAGTGCCACTGACAAGGCCCACTACCAAGGACTGTGGCCTCTCCTTCTCCATGGCCAACGTGATTAAGACATTTAAGCATGTTAACCCCCGCAAGGCTGCCGGCCCAGACGGCATCCCTAGCCGTGTCCTCAGAGCATGCGCAGACCAGCTGGCTGGTGTGTTTATAGATATATTCAATATCTCCCTTTCCCAGTGTGCTGTTCCCACATGCTTCAAGATGGCCACCATTGTTCCTGTACCCAAGAAAGCAAAGATAACTGAACTAAATGACTATCGCCCTGTCGCACTCACCTCTGTCATCATGAAGTGCTTTGAGAGACTAGTCAAGGATCATATCACCTCTACCTTACCTGTCATCCTAGACCCACTTCAATTTGCTTACCGCCTCAATAGATCCACAGACGATGCAATCGCCATCACACTGCACACTGCCCTATCTCATCTGGACAAGAGGAATACCTATGTAAGAATGCTGTTCATTGACTATAGCTCAGCATTCAACACCATAGTACCCTCCAAGCTCATCATTAAGCTCGAGGCCCTGGGTCTGAACCCTGCCCTGTGCAACTGGGTCCTGGACTTCCTGACGCGCCGCCCCCAGGTGATGAAGGTAGGAAACAACATCTCCACTTCGCTGATCCTCAACACTGGGGCCCCACAATGGTGCGTGCTCAGCCCCCTCCTGTACTCCCTGTTCACCCATGACTGCGTGGCCAAGCACGCCTCCAACTCAATCATCAAGTTTGCAGACGACACAACAGTAGTAGGCTTGATTACCAACAATGACGAGACCACCTACAGGGAGGAGGTGAGGGCTCTGGGAGTGTGGTGCCAGGAAAATAACCTCTCACTCAACATCAACAAAACAAAGGAGATGATCGTGGACTTCAGGAAACAGCAGAGGGTGCACCCCCCTATCCACATCGACGGGACCGCAGTGGAGAAGGTGGAAAGCTTCAAGTTCCTTGGTGTACACATCACTGACAAATTGAAATGGTCCACCCACGCAGACAGTGTGGTGAAGAAGGCGCAACAGAGCCTCTTCAACCTCAGGAGGCTGAAGAAATTCGGCTTAGCACCTAAAACCCTCACAAACTTTTACAGATGCACAATTGAGAGCATCCTGTTGGGCTGTATCACCGCCTGGTACGGCAACTGCACCGCCTGCAACCGCAGGGCTCTCCAGAGGGTGGTGCGGTCTGCCGAACGCATTACCGAGGGCAAACTACCCACCCTCCAAGAAACGTACAGCACCCGATGTCACAGGAAGACCAAAAAGATCATCAAGGACATCAACCACCCGAGCCACTGCCTGTTCACCCCGCTATCATCCAGAAGGCGGGGTCAGTACAGGTGCATCAAAGCTGGAACCGAGAGAATGAAAAACAGCTTCTATCTCCAGGCCATCAGACTGTTATAGCCATCACTAGCACATTAGAGGCTGCTGCTGCTTATTGAAATCACTGGCCACTTTAAGAAATGGAACACTAGTCACTTTAATAATGTTTACATATCTTGCACTACTCATCTCATATGTATATACTGCATTCTATTCTATAATATTCTACTGTATCTTAGTCCATGCCCCTCTGTCATTGCTTGTCCACATGTATATATTCTTCAATCCCATTCCTTACTAGTTTTGTGTGTATTGGGTATATGTTGAGAAATTGTTAGATATTACTGCACAGCTAGAAGCACATGCATTTCGCTACACCCGCTATAACATCTGCTAAACACGTGTATGTGACAAATAACATTTGATTTGTGTGTGTGTCATTTATTGATCAACAGATAAAATGCCATGTATTAACCATATTAATTGGTGATAGGGCTATCTTTGAGGATATTTTTATATTTCCATAAAGTTGAAGAGTTGTGTTTCAATAGATTACTCAATCAATTAACAATTCAAGTTCTAACTTCTAACTTTGTAACAATGACTAACAACATAAAAACAAACTACGTTTTGTTTTTATGTTAGTCATTGTTCCAAAGAAGTCTCCTGAGAATTTTATAGCAACTTCCGGTATGGCGCAGCACGCCACGGACAAATTGGGCGTGGCCTGCTGCCCTTAGGGAGAATAAAGTATCCAAAGAGTTTTCAAAACTCAGCCAAGCAACAAAGTGGTGAGTGTTGATCGCTAGCGACGAAGAAGTAAGTATGACCAATTTATTGAATGTAACGTACTTTTGTAACCAGTTTGCCGAATATTTGTTTTAAGTTATCTAGCTACCTGTAGTTATACGAACAGAATCTCTTCACCGCTAGTCAGCAACCAAGCTAACGTTCGCTAAGTCCTAGTCAATGGCTAGCTAATTTAACGTTATCTAGCTAAATTAACGAACGTTAGCGAGAGTGCATGGCATCTAGCTAGGTGACGTTAGATCCTTAGCTATCTGCACAATTATTGAATGGCATGTGTTTTAACGTTCGATTGAATCAGATAGTTATGTCCCGGGTAGCCACCGTTGTTAGTAACCTTAGCTAGTAACTACCTATGTTAGCTGTGTTTACATGTAGCTACCTACTGTAAAGTTACCACGTTATCTAGCCACAGTATAAATTGTTTGTCTTGACCAACTAACGCGGTAAACGGGTAAGTAACGACTTGAGCTAGCTCGAAATTGGTAAACTATTAACGTTAACTAGTTAACTAGATGGCCAAAAAGGGTAAACGCTAACTTGCCAACAATCAGTTGTAGCTACCATTCAGTGTTTCAGTTGCGCTAACTAACTAGATATGTTGCTGAACTTTATGAAGATGCAGCTGGATTATACACTAGCTAACTAGGTAAACCTTTCACATCCTGTTATATCAGTGCCACCTAGCTAAATGTTATTGTCTCTCGTCATAGGGGAAAAGATGCACTACTATCGTTATGAAAATGCAGAGGTCAGCTGCTGCTACAAGTACCTCATGTTTAGCTACAACATAATATTTTGGGTAAGTAACACTACCAGAAGCCCTGTAAACCTTTAGTAACGTAGGCTAATGCTTAGCCACTTAGAGAATTCGAGAGTGAAATACTTACACATCTCTAACATGTAGGCTCAGCATTCCCGAACAGTGCCATCACAAGTCAGAATGTTGAACAAACTTACTTGACATGTTGTCCGCTGCTTTTGTCCCTATGTCGTCAGAGGAAATCTGAGACAAAATATCCACAGGGAAGCGTTATCAACCCGACCTTCAGTACGCTGGTTTGTATTTCTTGTTTTGTGTTTTCAATACTGAAGCAATTCGCATGCAACAAACACTTGCACACTATGGCCGAACAACATACCGAACTTTGTCCCACGCAATCAGCTGGCAAAACACTGCAAGTTGATTGCGAGGAAACGTGCTTTGGTCGACTACGTTTGGTTACATTCGGCTATCGTTTACATAAAGTGCAATGCGTCAGGAGATTGAAAATACAAGCGACAGAACCTACTGGTGCTGCAAAAAGTTGGATAAACAACACTTTCCTGTGGATACCTTATCTCCACCTCCTACCGTCAAAAGGACTAACAACACAGAACCTGTAAAGTAAGTGTAAATATAATTTTAGTCAACATTCTGGTTTGTAGACCCTTGCGTCTTTTATAGGCAGACTTTTTTCAGACGGAATATCATGGGGTAACCATGGTAACAGTCGGATTAGGCAAGCAAATGCTATGACACCCCCTTGTCTCATTTTTTATTTATTTATTTAACCTTTATTTAACCAGGTAGGCCAGTTGAGAACAAGTTCGAAGCGGCAGGTAGCTTAGTGGTTAAGAGCGTTGTGCCAGTAACCGAAAGGTCGCTGGTTCTAATCCCCGAGCCGACTAGGTGAAAAAATCTGTCTGTGCCCTTAAGCAAGGCACTTAACCCTAATTGCTCCTGTAAGTCACTCTGGATAAGAGCGTCTGCTAAATGACGTAAATGTTCTCATTTACAACTGCGACCTGTCCAAGATAAAGCAAAGCAGTGCGATTAAAAACAACAACACAGTTACACATGGGATAAACAAAACATACAGTCAATAACACAATAGAAAATCTAAATACAGTGTGTGCAAATGAGGTAAGGCAATAAATAGGCCATAGTGCAAAATAATTACAATTTAGTATTAACACTGGAGTGATATATGTGCAAATAGAGATACTGGGGTGCAAAATAAATAACAATATGGGGATGAGGTAGTTGGATGGGCTAATTAGATGGGCTATGTACAGGTGCAGTGATCGGTAAGCTGCTCTGACAAATTATGCTTAAAGTTAGTGAGGGAGATAAGAGTCTCCAGCTTCAGAGATTTTTGCAGCTCGTTCCAGTCATTAGCAGCAGAGAACTGGAAGGAGTGGCGGCCAAACGAGGTGTTGGCTTTGGGGACGACCAGTGAGATATACCTGCTGGAGCGCATACTACAGGTGGGTGTTGCTATGGTGACCAATGAGCTAAGATAAGGCAGGGATTTGCCAAGCAGTGATTTAAAGATGACCTGGAGCTAGTGGGTTTGGCGACATATGTAGTGAGGACCAGCCAACAAGAGCTTACAGGTCACAATGGTGGGTAGTATATGGGGCTTTGGTGACAAAACGGATGGCACTGTGATAGACTACATCCAATTTGCTGAGTAGAGTGTTGGAGGCTATTTTGTAAATGACATCGCCGAAGTCAAGGATCGGTAGGATAGTCAGTTTTACGAGGGCATGTTTGGCAGCATGAGTGAAGGAGGCTTTGTTGCAAAATAGGAAGCCAATTCTAGATTTAACTTTGGATTGGAGATGGTTAATGTGAGTCTGGAAGGAGAGTTTACGGTCTAACCAGACACCTAGGTATTTGTAGTTGTCCACATATTCTAAGTCAGACCCGCCGAGAGTAGTGATTCTAGTCGGGTGGGTGCAAGCAGCGTTCGATTGAAGAGCATGCGTTTAAGAGCAGTTGGAGGCTACGGAAGGAGTGTTGTATGGCATTGAAGCTCGTTTGGAGGGTTGTTAACAGTGTCCAATGAAGGGCCAGATGTATACAAAATGGTGTCGTCTGCATAGAGGTGGATCTGAGAGTCACCAGCAGCAAGGGCGACATCATTGATATACACAAATACACAGGGCATGGGCAAGTTGCAGAGCTGGTGGCCGGGGTATGGGTAGCCAGGTGGAAAGCATGGCCAGCCGTAGCAAAATGCTTATTAAATTCTCGAGTATAGTAGATTTATCGGTGGTGACAGTGTTTCCTAGCCTCAGTGCAGTGGGCAGCTGGGAGGAGGTGCTCTTATTCTCCATGGACTTTACAGTGTCCCAAAACTTTTTGGAGTAGTGCTACAGATTGCACATTTCTGTTTGAAAAAGCTAGCCTTTGCTTTCCTAACTGATTGTGTATATTGGTTCCTGACTTCCCTGAAAAGTTGCATATCGCGGGGCTGTTCGATGCTAATGCAGTACGCCACAGGATGTTTTTGTGCTGGTCAAGGGCAGTGTGGGGTGAACCAGGGGCTATATCTGTTCTTAGTTCTGAATTTTTTGAATGGGGCATGCTTATTTAAGATTGAGAGGAAAGCACTTTCAAAGAACAACCAGGCATCCTCTACTGACGGAATGAGGTCAATATCCATCCAGGATACCCGGGCCAGGTCAATTAGAAAGGCCTACTTGCTGAAGTGTTTTTAGGGAGCGTTTGACAGTGATGAGCGGTGTTCGTTTGACCGAGGACCCATTACGGACGCAGGCAATGAGGCAGTGATCGCTGAGATCCTGGTTGAAGACAGCGGAGGTGTATTTAGAGGGTAAATTAGTCAGGATGATATCTATAAGGGTGCCCATGTTTACCTGGTAGGTTCCTTGATAATTTGTGAGATTGAGGGCATCTAGTTTAGATTGTAGGACGGCCGGGGTGTTGAGCATATCCCAGTTTAGGTCACCAAGCAGTACGAACTCTGAGGATAGATGGGGGGCAATCAATTCACATATGGTGTCCAGGGCACAGCTGGGGGCTGAGGGGGGTCTGTAGCAAGCGGCAACAATGAGACTTATTTCTGGAAAGGTGGATTTTTAGAAGTAGAAGCTCAAACTGTTTGGGCACAGACATGGATAGTATGATAGAGCTCTGCAGGATATCTCTACAGTAGATTGCAACTCTGCCCCCTTTGGCAATTCTATCTAGACGGAAAATGTTATGCTTGGGGGTGGACATTTCAGAGTTTTTGGTGGCCTTCCTAAGCCAGGATTCAGACACTGCTAGAACATTACATTTACATCATTTAGCAGACGCTCTTATCCAGAGCGACTTACAAATTGGTGCGTTCACCTTATAGTCAGTGGGATAACCACTTTACAATGTTTTTTTTTCTTTCTTTGGGGTGGGGTAAGGGGGATAGAAGGATTACTTTATCCTATCCCAGGTATTCCTTAAAGAGGTGGGGTTTCAAGTGTCTCCGGAAGGTGGTGAGTGACTCCGCTGTTCTGGCGTCGTGAGACAGTTTTGACTGGGCTGAGCGGGAACTGTGCTTCCGCAGAGGTAGGGGGGCCAGCAGGCCAGAGGTGGATGAACGCAATGCCCTCGTTTGGGTGTAGGGACTGATCAGAGCCTGAAGGTATGGAGGTGCCGTTCACCTCACAGCTCCGTAGGCAAGCACCATGGTCTTGTAGCAGATGCGAGCTTCAACTGGAAGCCAGTGGAGTGTGCGGAGGAGCGGGGTGACGTGAGAGAACTTGGGAAGGTTGAACACCAGGCGGGCTGCGGCATTCTGGATGAGTTGTAGGGGTTTAATGGCACAGGCAGGGAGCCCAGCCAACAGTGAGTTGCATTAATCCAGACGGGAGATGACAAGTGCCTGGATTAGGACCTGTGCCGCTTCCTGTGTAAGGCAGGGTCGTACTCCGAATGTTGTAGAGCGTGAACCTACAGGATCGGGTCACCGCCTTGATGTTAGTGGAGAACGACAAGGTGTTGTCCAGGGTCACGCCAAGGCTCTTCGCACTCTGTGAATAACTCAAACTTTGGGAGGAGGCTTCTGATGTTAACATGCAAGAAACCAAGGCTTTTACGGTTACAGAAGTCAACAAATGATAGCGCCTGGGGAGTAGGAGTGAAACTGGGGGCTACAGGGCCTGGGTTAACCTCTACATCACCAGTGGAGGAGTAGAATAAGGATACGGCTAAAGGCTTTAAGAACTGGTCTTCTGGTGCGTTGGGTACAGAGGGAAAAAAGGGGCAGATTTCCGGGCGTTGTAGAATAGATTCAGGGCATTATGTACAGACAAGGATATGGAAGGATACGAGTACAGTGGAGGTAAACCTAAGCATTGGGTAACGATGAAAGAGAGAGCATCACTGGAGGCACCGATTGAGCCGGTCTCCGCGTGTATGGGGGGTGGGACAAAGGAGCTATCTGAGGCAGGTTGAGCGGGACTGGGGGCTCTACAGTGAAATTGTATAATAAGAACTAACCAAAACAGCAATAGGCAAGGCATATTGACGTGGGAGAGAGGCATAAAGCAATCACAGGTGTTATTCGAGAGCGCAAAGATAACAACTGGTAATGGTGACGAAAGTTTGGGCTGAGCCTAAACAGATAAAACAGGACAGGGTACCGTGTAAAGGAACAGTCCAGCAGGCATCAGCTGTGTAGCTGAGGGATCATAAGGTCCAGTGAACAGCAATAGGTGAGTCAGGGAGCAGTTCGATGGCTGCTACGGCACAGGCGAGCAGGAGGCACGGCTCTTGATTACGTGTGCTAGCGGGCCGGGGCTAGCAGATGGATCTTCGTGGTCGTCGCAACGGGAAGCCTGTTGAAACCACATCAGACGACTACGTCGGCAGACCAGTCGTGATGGATCGGCGGGGCTCCGTGTCGACACTAGGAGGTCCCGCCCGGTTGACAGAGAGGTAGATAGCTGGGAGATGGGCCTGGCTCGAGGCTAGCTCAAGGCTAACTGGCGCTTGCTTCGGTTCAGTGGTGATTAGCCAACAACAACATCCATTCGGTTGCAGCTAGCTAGTTGCAATTATCCGGTGTTAAGGTTCAGTGATTCCGGCAGAAAATCCGATATGTTCTGGGTCTATAGCGCGCTGTGCAGATAATTGTCCAGGCTGGCTGGTAGTTAGTGCAGGCCATGGACAATGGTGAAAACTGCTAACGGTGGTTAATAGCAAGTAGCTAGTTAGCTGGCTAGTTTCAGCCGGAGGTTCCAGATAAAAAGGTATAAGAAATAATAGAATCCGTTCCACATTGGGTGAGCCTGGTTGCAGGAAAGTATATTTAGTTGAATGATGAAAGCAATGAATGTAGCTATGAAGATACTGTTGTTGGCCACGAGCTATGAGTCAGCCACGAGCACTACCTAAATCGGATACTAGAATATTGCAACAATAGGGTGGAACACATTGTTTTCTTTTTATGGAAGAATCTCTAGGAACCACATGTAGGAAACACATTGATTTACTTTAACCATTTTCCACCTCTGAGGCCAGATAACAGCCTCTGCAGGCTGATCTGGTGCCCCCTGCCACTGTCTTTCCACACAGAGTACTTTTTCGATAGCCTCTCCCTCTGATAAAATCCTCCACTGGTAATAGCGACGGCTTTGGTTTATTTGGTCAATTAAAGAATAATGTGGACCTTTTTTTGTGCTTTGTGCTGCCACTTTTCGCATTTCTATCAATGCCCTGCCAACACCCAGAGTTGAGAATGAACATTCAGAGCCCCTACTTCCTGCTTTAGAGTGAACAGGACTCAGTATGATAGGTGTCAACTTCCTCTCTTGGTGTCAACAGGAAATGTAGAAATGAGTCAGTTTGGATTCTGGTTAAGAGTGTTACTTCATCTCTTGATAGGGAAGGGGGTGTCGTCTTGAGTGCAAGGATCTGTGGTAACCACATGTGACCGCCCTTCCTGTTTTTAACAATGTATTTAATTATGTTGCTTCCCCTTTAATTAAAGGTGTCAGTGTTTTTGTTGTGAGAAGGCTTCCTCTTTTATATCTAATTATGCTTCAATGTTCTTTAGTGGCAGAGGTCTGCCTAATGCCTATGTTAAATACAAGTAAACACACCTGATGTAAACAAATGAACACCTCAGACAAAATACTTTCTGTGCTTCTTCAGCTGGCTGGAGCAGCATTCATCGCCATTGGGTTCTGGGCCTGGAGTGAGAAGGTGAGTGAGCAGCTTCTCCCATGGCCTTGTGAATGTTTCACCACTGGACAGAGACAACTGAACTCTGCCCAATGACTGTGTTTGAGTTAGAGCTTAAACACACAGACTGATCGGCAGTAGAATACTTAAGCCAGGATTGTCCAGTCACTTCTCATCACTGCCATCACAGCTTTTGAAAGATTCACAACTATCAAATTCAAATGTAATTTCCCCTCTTGTTACACATGGCTTAACCTTAGCTGATAAGACATTTTAATGTAAATGTCTGTTCTGTAGGGTCGAACCGTTCAACTACTAGAGGTTATTCTAATGCGTATTGGACCTATTCATGTTACTAGTTAACACGCCAGCTTTTAATCACAGGTACTCCAACATGTGATTTATTCAGTGTATGAAATAATTGATTCTCATAATGACTGTCTGCCTGCATGTTGAAGGCTGTGCTTGAAATGATATCAGTCTCTGAGTCATCAGTGTCTAGTGCTGAGCGATTAGTGCTTTTTGAGGTTGGGTTCGATTATTAAAAATCACCTTTGTAATCACTTTCAGTTTCAATTTTTTTTTTTTAAGTGAACATTAAATGCATTGTGTCGGATGCTGTCCCAGCACAGAATAGAACAATTTAATAAAAGTCCCATGATGGTAGTGACTGCCCATTACTGATTATCACTTATTAACAATTTATTCACAACACTTTAATACAATATTTCAGTTGTGTATATTACATTTGTTTTATTTGATGAATTTATTATTTCATTCCAAGTCTTCATCTAAACTCTACAGAGCTGCTGCCTATGCTGTTTGACAAAATAACTATTGTAGTAGTTCTTCAAAGTAAATAAGGAATACTTTTATGACTGCTGAATACCAACTGTCAATCACTTAGATCATGTAGAGAGACCTCGTGAAGCAACTGCTCTCTATCCCTCTCGCACATTCTTCTCTCCGTGCCCCACACTAACCTAATTTAGCAGGCATAAACCAGGCACTGACCGGACAAGTAGATGAATTATGGTCATTGTTGTTAATTACCACATTTTCTGCGCAAAGCGATATAGAATATTAGCCTGTTGGAAACAACTCCCTACTACATCGCATAGTTCAGGCTTGATCTGATTTATATGTAGAGAGCTCACAGGAAAAAAATGAACAAAATAGTATTCAAATAATTGACCAGACTTAGGTCAATTAGTTCTTTAAAAAAACTAAATTTTGGGTAATAGTTCAGGTCATACAGTATTTAATTTAATTCACCCGCTGTCCTGTGTCGCCATGCACAGTAGCCTGGGGATCTGTTAGCTCAACGGTTAAAGGTCCAATGCAGTGGTTTTTATCTCTAACAAATCATTTATGGCTACCAATTAAGTACCTTACTGTGATTGTTTTCAATTAAAATGGTCAAACATAAACAAAAAACTTTTTAGCAAAGAGCAATAATTTTGTTAGGACTGTTTTGGGAGTGGTCTGAGTGGGGAGGGGAAAACTAGCTGTTATTGGCAGAGGTTTGGAACTCTTTCTTATTGGTCTAACTAAATTACCACCTGGTGATGTCACCGTTGAAGGCCATCCCACCAAAACGGGCAACAATTTCAGGCAGTCTTTTCAAACAGCTCTTAGACTAAAAAAGCATTATCATTTTCGCAATACCACAGTATTATTCCAACCTCATTGTGTGGCAATATATTTAAAACACAGGGGAAATCGTGTTTTTGACTGCACTAGGCCTTTAACTCAACTGCTCTCACCTGTAGGGAGTGCTGTTGGACCTGACCCAGGTGACACGGCTGCATGGCTTTGATCCCGTGTGGCTGGTGCTGGCGGTGGGAGCGCTCACCTTCATCCTGGGCTTTGCAGGATGTGTAGGGGCACTCAGGGAGAACATATGCCTCCTCAAATTTGTGAGTACCGCACCACTTCAACAATCCTCTTTCTATTTCTCTCTCTGTCTCTTGGGTCTCTCATAGCATACCGATAGCTTAATTGTATACATATTTTAGCTGCCCTTACAAGCAAGCATCTCTGTTGGCCCAGCTTGTGCTCCATGAGTCAGACATGCTCCTCTGTTGATGCAACATCCAATATGATGACTAACAAGGTGTGTCCATCTTAATGAGTGGAAATCTATGAATAAGAGATTCCTTCATTCACAACATCCTGCATTGTAGTGTTGCACAGTAATATCACAGTACCAAAACACCATGATACTTATGATAGCAACATTTTAAGAAAACCGTAGTACAATTTCATGCGGTACTACCAAATTTTTCGGCCTACCCCAGCCAAACCCTCCTCTAACCCGGACGACGCTGGGCCAATTATGCTCCGCCCTACGTTAGTGAGCATTTCTCCTTTGCAAAGATAATTAATCCATCTGACAGGTGTGGCATATCAAAAAGCTGATTAAACAGCATGATCATTACACAGGTTCACTTTGTATTGGGGACATAAGGCCACTAGAATGTGCAGTTTTGTCACACAACACAATCTCAAGTTTTGAGGGAGCATGCAATTGGCATGCTGACTGCAGGCAATGTCCACCAGAGCTGTTGCCAGAGAATTTAACAGGTAGGCCTAGTATGTGTTGGGGAGATAGTGGTGTGTGTGGGAGGGAGGTGGAGAGTCTGTGTACTGAAGAGTAAAGAAGGTTTCGTGCAGTGTTTTCCCCTTACTGCCACAATGACATGCAGATCATTATGTATGTATATTCCTCCAGCCAAATCACAAATCAGCCATTCTATGCAGTATTCTATTATACAGTGTGAAGTTGAATACGATATGTGTTGTGTTGAGTAGAAGTGTGAATATCAGTGAAAGGTTGTTGGTGTAGCACATGCACATAAATTTAGAAAACGGGAACAAAGTGTCTGAGGGAATGGACAGACAGGATGCTAGGCCACTCAGAATTGTTTTCCCCCGTGGTATCGCGATACTACTCGGTCTCGTGATACTTGGCCTGGTATCTTATCATTAGTAAAATGTTGGTATTGTGAGAACACTACTCCATTGATAAGGGCATGCAATTGTTTTTTAGTTTTTTTACCCATGCAAAGCACTACCAAACATGCTACCAGGAACACTACTATCCTTTCTTTCTCTGTTCTGTGACTGATGCCCCTCTATCTGTCTCACACCACTGGTAGATTACTTGTTTCTCTCCTTCAGTTTTCAGGAGTCATCGGGTTCATCTTCTTCCTGGAGCTGACGGCAGCCGTGCTGGCGTTCGTCTTCCAGGACAACGTCAGGGAGTGGATCAATGACTTCTTCCTGGCCAACGTCAAGGCCTACAGAGAGGACATCGACCTGCAGAACCTCATCGACTCCCTGCAAAAGATGGTAGGAGAGAGGGAGAGATATGCAGAGTCTGGTTGTGGGGGTGTGTAATGGGATATAGAGGCAGGGAGAAAGGGAATGTGAGACAAGGTGACGTTTTAACCAGTGCCTCTTTCCCCTCCCTGATAATGTCTTGCTGCTGTCTTGTTTCCTGCTGTCCCTCATCCTTTGTCACATTGTTTCCTTTCCTCCTAAACGCTCAGATTGTTCATACAGTGCCTTCGGAATGTATTCAGACCCCTTGACTTTTTCCATTTCCCCCCCCCCCCTCATCAATCTACACACAATACCCCATAATGACAAAGCAAAAACAGGTTTTTAGAAATTGTTGTTAATTTATAAAATTTTTTAAAACTGAAATATTACATTTACACAAGTATTCAGACCCTTTACTCAGTACTTTGTTGAAGCACCTTTGGCAACGATTACAGCATCGATTCTTCTTGGGTATGACACTACAAGCTTGGCACACCTGTATTTGGGGAGTTTCTCCCATTCTTCTCTGCAGCTATTTTCAGGTCTCTCCAGAGATGTTCGATCGGGTACAAGTCCGGTATCTGGCTGGGCCACTCGGGGACATTCAGAGACTTGTCCCGAAGCCACTCCTGCGTTGTCTTGGCTGTGTGCTTAGGGTCGTTGTCCTGTTGGAAGGTGAACCTTCGCCCCAGTCTGAGGACCTGAGTGCTCTGGAGCAGGGTTTCATCAAGGATCTCTCTGTACTTTGCTCCATTCATCTTTCCTTCAAACATGACTAGTCTCCCAGTACCTGCCACTGAAAAACATCCCCACATCAATGGAAACAGGATGCACCTGAGCTCAATTTCGAATGTCATAGCAAAGGGTCTGAATAGTTATGTAAATAAGGTATTTCAGTTTTTTTATTTGTAATACATTTGCAAAAAAATCTATAACCTGTTTTTGCTTTGTCATTATGGGTTATTGTGTGTAGAATGCTGAGGATTTTTATTTATTTAATCCAAGGCTGTAACGTAACAATGTGGAAAAAGTCAAGGGTTCTGAATACTTTCCGAAGGCACAGTACATCCTATTGATTGTGTGCTTGTTTTCACAAGCCTCGCTACAATGGCTTGTTGTTCTCTGGGGACCTGATACGACCTGAACTGTTGTCCTCCCAGTGGATATGTACTGTATGCTCAGTCCTACACTGTCAGATGTGTGGTATGAAGACCCTTCAGTTAGTTAGAACCATCTCTGACTCACCTCTACTGTCTGTCCTAGAACCACTGCTGCGGAGCCAAGGAGCCTGATGACTGGAACCTGAACGTCTACTTCAACTGTACCAACAACAACCCCAGCAGAGAGAGGTGTGGCGTTCCCTTCTCCTGCTGCATCAGTGATCCTGCAGTGAGTACTCTGTCTGCCCGTATCTCCATGTGTCTCTTGTGCTGCTTTTCCACTGTAACAACAGTGTTACACTAGTGTATACACCCTTATGTTATACTAGGGAAATTGTGTTTCCATAGTTAGGGCTGACTGAGGACTTGTGAAGAGCATAATCGGCAACCTCTACATAATCAAAGCAGTTGCTTTGTGAGAAGGTGTTAAAGTTCAGTTAGCTATTGTTATGTAAATGCTAGCTGTAAAGTACCAGTGGACTGGCTTTGGCCCCAAGTGAAAAGCCTGATCATTTTGGGTAAATTCTGTATGGAAATACGTCGTTGGTGTCATTGCTCCTTCAGTATCCGTCTCCTCTGAATAAGTCACTCTGTTCTCGTGTTACAACTCCCACTGTCATATGCATTTTTAGGTATGCTTCTTGTTAGTCCTTGACACTGACAGGACTAAATCAAGCTGTTGCTTCCTCTCTCCTCAGGACTCAGTTTTGAACACCCAGTGTGGATATGATGTCCGTAAAGGTCCAAAGGTATGACCCTATCAGCGCACACATCACATACACATGTATACATAATATAATATGTGCTATTTAGCAGACGCTATTTCCCTTGATGATCGCCTACTGCATGTCTTTAAAGGGATAGTTCAGGATTTTGGCAATGACGCCCTTTATCTACTTTCCCCAGAGTCAGATGAACTCGTGGATAAAATGTTTGTCTCTGCGTTCAGTTTAAGGATGTTGCCATCTAGCGTTAATGCAATTGCTAACTAGCGTTAAAAATCCCGAACTATCTCTTTGTGTTTTTATATCGCCTGTGTATGCATCCATGTCTACTGTTTGCGACAATCTACCTCTGTGCTAGCTGTAGTAAGACTATTGCTGTGAAAGGAAAATATCATATTGTGAGAGTAAAAGTTTGAGGGGCAATTTCAGTGCAGAAAGTAAACTTACATTTATTTTAAGGGTAGATGATACAGGATTTAGTGGCAAGTCGCTCTGGATAAGAGCGTCTGCTAAATAATGTAAATGTAATTTAAACTCCGTATCGACAGGGTCTTTTCTTCCTATTACCCAAATGGGAGAAACTCATGTTGTGGCAGGCTCCCTTCTGCCCCTGTGAATCTCTGTCACTACGAAGAGCGGCAGGCTGAATATAAATGATTATTTTATCTATATTTTGGCCTAGTGTTTCAGTGGTCACTCAAAGCTGGTTTAAATTGGTGTTTTTCACATTCACCCTGTTGACATTGGTTCTGATCCCCTGGCTCAGAATTAACTATTCATCTTCCTTGTTATTAGTTTGGGAGAAGGAAGAACCATACAGGGGTTTACAACAAGGTTTTAAGGCAAACTGATTTGTCTTTTTTTGTTGGTCAGGAAAAACGTCTCACACTGCAGATGCACCTAGATAAATGGGTGGTTTTTATGCTGAAAATAGAAGCGATGAATTTCACTATCATAGATGACTCGTCAATTAATTGCAGAAGAATCAAATATTTGCTAATGTTGACCTTTCCTTTGCCCCTTATGATGCTCAATATTAATTTAACTCGCATGTTTTCATAGGCTGTCATGGATAATGGCTACACAATAGCGGATTGGAGCCTTTTTGAATTCGGGAAACTTCTTGACAACACACTTGGTGTTAAATCTTCTTTAGTATTTGAAAAAGCAATCCGTTGGATCTATCCCTATAAGATGCATTAAGTGCACCAAGATTTGTAGTTGGCGTAAGGTGATTTGAGTAAGCCGGTATATACGAAGGTATGGAAGATTATTCCGTATAGCTGTCATTTCCTGTTGCAGGGGGACTGGAGCTACAACATTTACGTCAAGGGCTGCATCCCAGCCTTAGAGGAGTGGCTGCCTCGGAATATCTACATAGTAGCTGGAGGATTCATCATTATATCTGTACTCCAGGTAAATATATGGATATTGAAATGAGACTACATGTGTATATGCTGATGTGATTCGTATATATTCTAAGCTAATGCTGTGAATTCTTCTCACTTCTCAGATGATGGGCATCTTCTTAGCTCGGACACTGATCGGTGACATTGAGAAGGTCAAGTTTAACTACTACTGAGTGGTGTGGTGGAATGCATAGGCCAACAGGGGACAGTACTGAGAATATCCACCATACATTCCTCCCTCTCTGAGGCATAGCAAGGGACAAGAATACTTCCATACCTGTGGCTCGTTATCTTTGGACTGTTCTGTCTCTGGAGATGGAAACCTCTGCAGAGCCTGCACAGTGGACATGAAGCTGCCTTATTCAACTCAAGACTCTTATGTGCCTTCTCTCACAGGATTGCAGTCTGACTTTAAAAATACACCCTGGGTTTCCCTTTGTTTTTGTAATTAGATACATTCTTGTATGAATTGCCCCAGACACACTGAATGTTTTCCTCTTTCCTGGGAACAGCGTCTTAACCAATAAACCCAGGTAGATTCCTGGGCGACTACATCATACCTCAATGATACAAAAACTACAATTAAGTCGTCGCACAGGTTTAAAAGGTGTGTTCTCTCTCTGTGGCCTGCAGCATTGTCCCTTACCTCTCAGCTAAACATGGAAAATGAAGCTCTATTTTAAAGGTAGACTCAGCAATGTGACATAGATGCAGAAAGTAACCGTGTAGTGGGTCAATTTCCACAACTAAGTGTGAGGCTCAATTTCTCTGTTTTGGTCCTGTACCTACAACGCTGTAACAGTGTGAAGCGACCCTGTGCACATGCGCAGATACTGTGTGAGGGCGAAGTCTTGCGTCTCACTCGTCTCAGTATCTGCCGTCCTGCTCGTGGCAGTCATTTAGCCCAGTCTACCTTTAAACCATTGGAATCAGTCTGCAGCTGGTCAAAACCAAAAGTGCACAGCTGAAACTCTGACCTATTGTCCATCATGCCTTGTCTTTTCTAGCAGTCATGTGTCTCACATAACTTGTCATTCCACAACGTGTAGTGCATCAAATGCTAACTAGCATAGAGTATCGATTATTTAGACACATACAACTTAAGGGAAACGACTGTCGATGCAATGTGTGTAGATAGTTGACATGTTTAATTTGATCAGTCTTAGATGACCCCTAAGTGAAATATTAGTTAGCTAGTTCACTCGGAGTAGCTGAGTTGGACTATTTTGCTGTTGTGTTGACTGCAGGCAAGGAAGCTTGACCAGGTGCAGCAGTGGAGACCTCCAGAGCCCAGTTTCTCACAGACAGACAGGGAGACATCCAGAGCAGCATGGGCCTCTAGAGGTACAGGTGAGATCTGATCATAGCGCTCACATCCCTTCGAGCTATAGCCGGGATCTGTGTTGTGATCACATCACTAGACCTAGGCTTAGTTATCTGCCTGCATGGTGAAAGTTTTGATTGAGAGATTGTATTCACCTCTAACGTCTTGAATAATTTTTACTGTCTCAGCATCTTTGGTAATAATCTGTTTTTCTAAACACATTCACAAATGCAAGCCCACAGTCAGCACCTTTTCATTTTAGCTTGAAATGTGCTGAGAGCTGTTCTACTCTGCTCTTGTTAGATATTGAATACAATGTCATCTGATCGGGCTGCCCAGTGGCACTTTTATGTAGAAAATATACAATTACAACTGTACGGGAGGTCTTGATGCCCAACCTGTCTCTCTCCTCTGCTCAGCCTGTACACCTCAACGAGACAGAATGAGCGCAGACTTCCTGAAACATTACTCAAAGCGTTCTGAAAGTGTTTTCAACAGAGGTGTTTGCTGCCAGCCAGATAACTGCCAGTGCCTACACACATTGAGCTTGCTTTACCTTCATCCTGTCCATTCCCTCTCCACTGCTGTCCTTGTACCAGAATGGGGAGCTTTACAGAGACATCTATGGCAGGTAGCCTAGCGGTTAAGAGCATTGGGCCAGTAATCGAAAGGTCGTTGGTTCGACTCCCCAAGCCGACTAGGTGAAAAATCTGTTGACATGCCCTTAAGCAAAAAAGTAACCCTTGTTGCTCTGTATAAGAGCGTCTGCCGATTGACAATGTAATTGTTGATGGAGGATATCTTTACAGCTGATGAATGCTATACTTGAGCTATATATCATACGTTACAAGATCAAATTAAAGGAATTACTTTCATTCAGGCCTTCAACTCCCATTTACACAACATCTGATGGTCAATGTACATTATGTAGTTTAACATAATTTTGTGTGCTTGTTAGATTGCTTTCATGTGATCATGGGAGTGTTTTTAACAAAAGGGACCTTTTTGATATGTAGATGTTATCTCTGTTTTACCTAATGACATTTTGTAAATGTGAATTTTCTTAATTCTGGATAGGTTTTTATAAGCAATAAAGTATGTTTGTCCATTTGTTAAACTTCCCAGTGATATTAATCATCATCACAGATTAAAATGGCTGCATTTACATAGGCAGCCTAATTCTAATATCCCCCCCACTAATTGGTCTTTTGACCGATCATATCAGCTCAGCTCTTTGGCAATAATTGGGCAAAATATCAGAATTGGGCTTCCTTTGTAAACACAGCCATATTAGCTTCGCCATGTATACACTCATAAGGTGGTCTTTTGATATTCTGAGAACAAAGGCTACTTTAGTACTTCCTTGGTCAAAATAGTTGATCTATTCTAAACAGTCCTGATTTAGTGTTTTGGAGCCCTCTTGTGTTCATACTGGGAAATGTATAGTCCTGAACAGCCTTCATGTAGGAGTCATTAAATACATTTTTTTTTTTCAAAATATTGCAACATTTTAGACAGTCTAGATATTACTACTATAAATTGATAGTCATAATTGTGATTTGTTTTGTTCAGGCCCTGGAATTAGCCAGTTATCTTTAGGGTGTTGGCAACTACTTAATTATGGGCGGCGCACAATTGGCCCAGCGTCGTCCAGGGTAGGGGAGGGAATGGCCGGCAGGGATGTAGCTCAGTTGATAGAGCATGGTGTTTGCAACGCCAGGGTTGTGGGTTCGATTCCCACGGGGGGCCAGTATAAAAAAATATGTATTCACTAACTGTAAGTCGCTCTGGATAAGAGCATCTGCTAAATGACTAAAATGTAAAATGTTAATTGTGGCCATTATGTGAAATGTGACTACCCTAATTTTGGTTATTGATTCCCTGCCGATTCAAGGCAGTATACTATTCACAAAGCAACGTTTATACAGTGTATATAGTCTATACTTTATCTCCAAGAAGACTGTAGTCATTTATCGCATGAAAGAACAGATCTGTGTAATTTGCTGGTGACCATGTGAGACAGGAATTACAGTCCAAACCATTGAAAGCAGAGACTACCAGTAACTCCATATACAGCCATTGCCTGCCAGGAAAAGGTGTTGCCTGATAGGAAAACAAAATCCCGCTATATCAGACAAAGCGTTCTATTGTTTTTGGGCCAAAGTAGTAGGAACAACTAAATCCTTGATCCCTCCCTTTGATGCCCACGGGACCTTTTGTCTCTGTTTTCCTCAGGTTGATGAGTGACAGACTGTGATGAAGTTGATATTCAGAGTGATGCTTCAGTGTAGCTTTGTGTGGCTGTGGCTGACTACTGGCTGCTCTAAACAGATTGACCTCCTAGCTCACTGACTAAAACTGGACCTACTGCTGGGAAACTGACACCTAAAGCTGGACAAAGGCTGCCTGCCACACAACAATCTATCTTACTGCGTTACTACAGCAGCCCATCTCTACTAGCCAGGAAAATTCTCCATCCCAGTGTTGTGGAAACCTGAGCTTATAATTGACTGTTTGTGTTTGCGGGGTGGGTGGGAGTGTGTGTTGATTATGTTAACGGGGGGGTTGTGGCATTAGCATACTGCTGTTTACTATTGGCTGTTCTCACTGCTGAATGATACTGGCCATTGGAAAAGAGGAGCTCTGGTTACCCACTCGGGACCAGTGAGGCTATCACTTGCATGGAAAAAGCTGTCAGTGCTGCGACAGCATTAGTCTTGTATCATGAACAGGAGGGCAGTTGCTCCATTCATTTTCAAGATGGGTGGACCTCAAGGTATTCTGAATACTCTCTTTAACTGGGAGGAGGATGTGCATTAATTCGGTATACGTAATTTGTATGTCAGTGATTTCTATGCAAATTCTTTCTTTCAACTGCCGTCTGGCCCAAGAACAAAGCCCCATCAGGATAACAACAGATTCCCAATAGGGATGAGTGCACAAAAACAAGTTTTCTATGACTCCACTTTGAAGCTTTAGTACTCCCTAAAAGCATAACATCTGAGACAACCTTTGTTTAATCTGAATGTGTTTTGCGTCTCAGGTGGGGAAGTAGCTCTTACTCTCTGTTATCATAAGTTTGCATAAGTACAAAGTGAGAATCTTTGTCTTCAACAAGAAATAGCGTCAATAGGAGTGTTTGACAGATGCGAGACACTTTTAACAATCCACCTCTGTTCCTTGTTGCCTCCGGTGTCTGGGTGTCTGTCTGCTTACCCGTGTTCCCTAAGAGCTTGATCTTGTCCTGAATCGCACTGTTGCTCAACATTTGTGTAACTCCCCAGGTAGAAACAATGTACAGTACCAGTCAAAAGTTTGGACACACCTACTCATTCAAGGGTTTTCCTTTATTTTTACTGTTTTCTACATTGTAGAATAATAGTGAAGACATCAAAACTATGAAATAACACATATGGAATCAAGTAGTAACCAAAGAAGTGTTAAACAAATCAAAATCTATTTTATATTTGAGATTCTTCAAAGTCCAACTCATCCCAAACCATCTCAACTGGGTTGAGGTCGGGTGATTGTGGAGGCCAAGTCATCTGATGCAACACTCCATCACTCTCCTTGGTCAAATAGCCCTTAAACAGCCTGGAGGTGTGTTGGGTCATTGTCCTGTTGAAAAACAAATGATAGTCCCTCTAAGCGCAAACCAGATGGGATGGCATATCGCTGCAGAATGCTGTGGGAGCCATGCTGGTTAAGTGTGCCTTGAATTCTAAATAAATCACAGATAGTGTCACCAGCAAAGCGCCATCACACCACCTCCTCCATGCTTCACGGTGGGAACCACACATGCGGAGATCATCTGTTCACCTACTATGCGTCTCACAAAGACACGCCGGTTGGAACCAAAATTCTCAAATTTGGACTCAGACCAAAGGACAGATTTACACCGGTCTAATGTCCATTGCTCGTGTTTCTTGGCCCAAGCAAGTCTCTTCTTCTTATTGGTGTCCTTTAGTAGTGGTTTCTTTGCAGCAAAATCGACCATGAAGGCCTGATTCACACAGTCTCCTCTGAACAGTTGATGTTGAGATGTCTGTTACTTGAACTCTGAAGCATTTATTTGGGCTGCAATTTCTGAGGCCGGTAACTCTAATGAACTTATCCTCTGTAGCAGAGGTAACTTTGGGGCTTCCTTTCCTGTGGCGGTCCTCATGAGAGCCAGTTTCATCCTAGCACTTGATGGTTTTTGCGACTGTACTTGAAGAAACTTTCAAAGTTCTTGAAATTTTCCGGATTGACTGACCTTCATGTCTTAAAGTAATGTTGGACTGTTGTTTCTCTTTGCTTATTTCAGCTGTTCTTTCCATAAATGGACTTGGTCTTTTACCAAATAAGGCTAACTTCTGTATACCACCCCTACCTTGTCACAAGACAACTGATTGGCTCAAGCGCATTAAGAAGGAAAGAAATTCCACAAATTAACTGTTAATTGAAATGCATTCCAGGTGACTACCTCATGAAGCTGGTTGAGAGAATGCCAAGAGTGTGCAAAGCTGTCATCAAGGGAAAGGGTGGCTACTTTGAAGAATCTCAAATATAAATATATTTTGATTTGTTTAACACTTCTTTGGTTACTACATGATTCCGTATGTGTTATTTCACAGTTTTGATGTCGTCACTATTATTCTACAACATAGAAAATAATACAAATAAAGAAAACCCCTGGAATGAGTAGGTGTGTCCAAACTTTTGACTGGTACTGTATATCTCAATGGCTCACTCCTCTCTCGTGTTAGACAGTTTACAGCTTCCAAACAGCTTGTAGCAGCACTTTGTTTACCAAGAAGTCCCCACTGCAACAGCTAGTGGCGAGGCGCATGCAAGATGCTACTGGGGGGAATGGATGTCTACAGACAGTCCTGTGGAATGGTTAGAGTCTGAAGACATGGCTCCATGCCTGTAGAAAGACTGAGCTCACTGTGTGTGAATCCAGTGGGGTGAGTTCAAAGTTCAAAGTGACATCGTAGGGAGCAGAAAGGTGTTCACAGTGACCTGACAGGGTGTAGAGGGGGTCATTGGAAGAGCCCCCCATAGTCCGTGGCTGAGACTGTCCATTTACATGCCTCCTGAAGAAGCTCTCCTCCTGATGTGGTGATCACCTCCTCCTAGAGACAGACAGACCAACAGATCATCAGAACATACCCTATGACTGGTCTCATATGTCTGTGCTATACATTCTTATCAACAGCTGTCGAACTGTAGTCCCCTGTTGCTCAGTTGGTAGAGCATGGCACTTGCAACGCCAGGGTTGTGGGTTCGTTTCTCACGGGGGGCCAGTATGAAAAATGTATGCACTCACTAACTGTAAGTCGCTCTGGATAAGAGCGTCTGCTAAATGACTAAAATGTAATGTAAAATGTTTTGTCTGTTGGTGTATACTGCTTGCATATTATGTATCTATATAGTAATAGGATGGTTTTATGTTCCGATTTTCCAGAGTCAGTGTGGTGATCTGTGGTGAATCATATTCAAACTGTCAGTATTCCTCCCCCAGCAGTTTCCAGATGCTCTTTATCTGATCAGTACACAGTGACTCCTTATACTGTATGTGTGTGTAATGCCAAAGAGACATGCAAATTCCTGGAGACCAACGTTCACCCGTCTTTTCACATTAGCATATAACTCATGTCACAGATTCACAGTTCACACATTCAGTTCTGTCAGCCTCCGCTTCCGAGAAATATGTTTCCATGTTAAGTAAGGCAGTATTATTGAAGATAACGTAGTTCAGCCGTGCTTTTGATTGGTTGCTAAATCAGTTGTGATAAGAAAAGATCACGGATGTATATCATGGAGCATTAGATTAGACTTACTCCCAGATGTTTGATGGCTGTCACTTTGATGTTGAGTTACTAAGTAACCATTTAATCTGATTTCCACATGGAGTCTCTATGCTGACTAACATCACTGCAGAACACTGACATTACTGATGTATATAGCATGCTAAGTATCTGACCCAACCCCTGCAGTTCACTGTGTGAAACCCTGTACATACTGTAAACTGCCTGCCCACCTTGTGGAAGTCGATGAGGTCAGCCAGGGTGGCGTGGCGGTTCTGGTCCACACCCAGGAAGCTGTAGTAGTCTCCTGATGCGTCGATCAAGAAGTGTTTGAAGCCGTCGGCCGTGCGATAGGACAGCGTGTAGCCCCAGATCCTGTCACTCACCCTCACCAGGAAGGAGCCGTCCGCTGCATTCATCAGCAGGGTCTCTGACTCCTGTCTGGAAATCAGACCTGGGGAGGAGAGAGGGTCTCACAGTAGTTAAATCAGACCTGAGGTCAGGAGGGAGAGTCAGACGGTAGTTAAATCAGACCTGAGGTCAGGAGGGAGAGTCTGACGGTAGTTAAATCAGACCTGAGGTCAGGAAGCGGGAGAGTCTGACGGTAGTTAAATCAGACCTGAGGTCAGGAAGAGGGAGAGTCTGACGGTAGTTAAGTCAGACCTGAGGTCAGGAAGAGGGAGAGTCTGACAGTAGTTAAATCAGACCTGAGGTCAGGAGGAGGGAGAGTCTGACAGTAGTTAAATCAGACCTGAGGAGGAGGGAGAGTCTGACGGTAGTTAAATCAGACCTGAGGTCAGGAAGCGGGAGAGTCTGACAGTAGTTAAGTCAGACCTGAGGTCAGGAAGAGGGAGAGTCTGACAGTAGTTAAATCAGACCTGAGGTCAGGAGGAGGGAGAGTCTGACAGTAGTTAAATCAGACCTGAGGTCAGGAGGAGGGAGGGTCTGACAGTAGTTAAATCAGACCTGAGGAGGAGGGAGAGTCTGATGGTGGTTAAATCAGACCTGAGGTCAGGAGGAGGGAGAGTCTGACAGTAGTTAAATCCAAAGCAAAGAGAAGCCCAAGGTCCTTGCACAATATTGTTGAATTTCCTCTCATTAGGACCAAAAAAAACTAATTGCCCTAAATGATTAAAGGAAAAATCCACCCGAAACCACAAATTCCTACAATTTTGTGTTAAATTACACTAATATGCGAGAACAATATTTTTTGTGAACAAATACTTCATTTTGTCTTTATAATAAGGTTGGTAGCAACATGTGAAAATCGTTGTGGAAATCTTTTGCAGCTCAAGTCGACTACAAAACCCACAATGCTATGCTCTCTCTATGGGCTGGTTGGCTAGCTACGCACAATAATACCAAAATCTGTAAAATCGCCTAAACAAACTGCAATATCAATTTAGGAGTCTACAATCTCACCATGTTCAACCTGCAGATCGTGTTCTTTGCAGTGGAGTCTGACGTTTGCAACAGCACCATGCAATGCACCCTGGACTGAAGTGGCAGAGAAATAGGAGAAATGTGGTGCACCCTCTGTTAAATTACAAATTTCTCAAGGTAGGAATATCGCAAATATATGATCAATGGCTCATTCGAGAGAAGACAACCTCCCGCATAATGACATCGGCCAGTATTGAAGTCTGACATGTATGATAGATGTTTTCACTATCTAAAATAATCTTCCTATTAACTTCCAGTGTAGTGAGAGCGACTTTATCACAATGCTACGTCATACCGGCTGTATGTCTGCCTGCGTGAATGGCAAGAGCTCAGATACACATGAAAACATAGTTGACCCTGGGAATCGATAGAACATTGCTCGGAGATGCACAAATACGATATAACATTTAAAATGGGTGAATATTTCCTTTTAATGTTGTGTAACGTTGTTATTGACTAAAGTAATCTCAGTGACAGAGAGAAATTATGACAGTTGCATAATTTGGAAAAACAGTATCAAACTGGCATCTTTTCAAGATAAAGAGTGGGTTTGGGTGTGCTCACATTGTTTAGATGCCTGATACCCTGTCTCTGCATGATAGCATGAAGTGCATGTTGCACCCCTCTTTCCAGTGGAGTGTGCCACTCATAGGCCCATTCATCTGTGCTTCTGTCACTTAACCAGGAGCTACTCACTGTGACCTATTATGGAGAGGGTTAGGGCTCAGGGCCACTCGCCAGTAATTAGTCTAGGGTGGCCTATTTATTATTGAAGAGCCCCATCCCTTCAGCCACACACCCTACCGTGCACGAACAGACTGACACTTTCCTTCAATGCTCATTTCCTGAGGACTCAGGCAAGAATACGTTTGAGTTAGATAGTTTGGACGTGGCAGTGGTAGTGAAGAAAAGTAGATTGGTGCAAGAGGGGAAGCTTGGAGGGATCCACGATTGATCAACCCAGCACTGACCGTGGAACCAGGGGGCGATGGCGGTGCTGTTGCGCTCATAGCCAGCCTGTTTGGGCCTCTGCTCCTCTTTGAACCACAGCAGAACACATTCTCTGGAGCTGGGCCGGGGAGCTCTCACCCAGGCAGGACTGGAGAAGATAGGGAGGAGTGGAGCAAGACATAACCACATCATATATCATAATAAGAAATTAAGACACATTATAAACTGGGTGGTTCGAGTCCTGAATGCTGATTGGCTGAAAGCTGTGGTATATCAGACTGTATACCATCGGTATGACAAAACATTTATTTTTACTGCTCTAATTACGTTGGTAACCAGTTTGTGATATATGGCCAATATACCACGGCTAAGGGCTGTGTCTTAGCACTCCGCGTTACGTCGTGCCTAAGAACAGCCCTTAGCTGTGTTATATTGGCCATATACCACACCCCCTCGGGCCTTATTGCTTAATTATAGCACAGATTGCCCTAAGCATTTTAATGCTTGCACCCCTTCTCAAAAAACCAACACTCGATCCCTCCGATGTCAACAACTACAGACCAGTATCCCTTCTTTCTTTTCTCTCCAAAACTCTTGAGCGTGCCGTCTTTAGCCAACTCTCTTGCTATCTCTCTCAGAATGACCTTCTTGATCCAAACCAGTCAGGTTTCAAGACTGGTGATTCAACTGAGACTGCTCTTCTCTGTGTCACGGAGGCTCTCCGCAATGCTAAAGCTAACTCTCTCTCCTCTGCTCTTGTCCTTCTAGACCTGTCTGCTGCCTTTGATACTGTGAACCATCAGATCCTCCTCTCCACCCTCTCCGAGTTGGGCATCTCCGGCGCGGCTCACTCTTGGATTGCGTCCTACCTGACCGGTCGCTCCTACCAAGTGGCGTGGCGAGAATCTGTCTCCGCACCACGTGCTCTCACCACTGGTATCCCCCAGGGCTCAGTTCTAGGCCGTCTCCTATTCTCGCTATACACCAAGTCACTTGGCTCTGTCATATCCTCACATGGCCTCTCCTATCATTGCTACGCAGACGACACACAACTAATCTTCTCCTTTCCCCCTTCTGATAACCAGGTGGCGAATCGCATCTCTGCATGTCTGGCAGACATATCAGTGTGGATGACGGATCACCACCTCAAGCTGAACCTCGGCAAGACGGAGCTGCACTTCCTCCCGAGGAAGGACTGCCCGTTCCATGATCTCGCCATCACGGTTGACAACTCCGTTGTGTCCTCCTCCCAGAGTGCAAATAGCCTTGGCGTGACCCTGGACAACACCCTGTCGTTCTCCGCTAACATCAAGGCGGTGACCCAATCCTGTAGGTTCATGCTCTACAACATTCGGAGAGTACGATCCTGCCTTACACAGGAAGCACAGGTCCTAATCCAGGCACTTGTCATCTCCCGTCTGGATTACTGCAACTCGCTGTTGGCTGGGCTCCCTGCCTGTGCCATTAAACCCCTACAACTCATCCAGAATGCCGCAGCCCGTCTGGTGTTCAACCTTCCCAAGTTCTCTCACGTCACCCCGCTCTTCCGCACACTCCACTGGCTTCCAGTTGAAGCTCGCATCTGCTACAAGACCATGGTGCTTGCCTACGAAGCTGTGAGGGGAACGGCACCTCCGTACCTTCAGGCTCTGATCAATCCCTACACCCAAACGAGGGCATTGCGTTCATCCACCTCTGGCCTGCTGGCCCCCCTACCTCTGCGGAAGCACAGTTCTCAATACTTTGTTATATACCCTTTGTTGGCAATGACACAGGTCAAACGTTTTCTGTAAGTCTTCACAAGATTTTCACACACTGTTGCTGGTATTTTGGCCCATTCCTCCATGCAGATCTCCTCTAGAGCAGTGATGTTTTGGGGCTGTCGCTGGGCAACACGGACTTTCAACTCCCTCCAAATATTTTCTATGGGGTTGAGATCTGGAGACTGGCTAGGCCACTCCAGGACCTTGAAATGCTTCTTACGAAGCCACTCCTTCGTTGCCCGGGCGGTGTGTTTGGGATCATTGTGATGCTGAAAGACCCAGCCACGTTTCATCTTCAATGCCCTTGCTGATGGAAGGAGGTTTTCACTCAAAATCTCACGATACATGGCCCCATTCATTCTTTCCTTTACACGGATCAGTCGTCCTGGTCCCTTTGCAGAAAAACAGCCCCATGATGTTTCCACCCCCATGCTTCACAGTAGGTATGGTGTTCTTTGGATGCAACTCAGCATTCTTTGTCCTCCAAACACGACGAGTTGAGTTTTTACCAAAAAGTTATATTTTGGTTTCATCTGACCATATGACATTCTCCCAATCCTCTTCTGGATCATCCAAATGCACTCTAGCAAACTTCAGACGGGCCTGGACATGTACTGGCTTAAGCAGGGGGACACGTCTGGCACTGCAGGATTTGAGTCCCTGGCGGCGTAGTGTGTTACTGATGGTAGGCTTTGTTACTTTGGTCCCAGCTCTCTGCAGGTCATTCACTAGGTCCCCCCATGTGGTTCTGGGATTTTTGCTCACCGTTCTTGTGATCATTTTGACCCCACGGGGTGAGATCTTGCGTGGAGCCCCAGATCGAGGGAGATTATCAGTGGTCTTGTATGTCTTCCATTTCCTAATAATTGCTCCCACAGTTGATTTCTTCAAACCAAGCTGCTTACCTATTGCAGATTCAGTCTTCCCAGCCTGGTGCAGGTCTACAATTTTGTTTCTGGTGTCCTTTGACAGCTCTTTGGTCTTGGCCATAGTGGAGTTTGGAGTGTGACTGTTTGAGGTTGTGGACAGGTGTCTTTTATACTGATAACAAGTTCAAACAGGTGCCATTAATACAGGTAACGAGTGGAGGACAGAGGAGCCTCTTAAAGAAGAAGTTACAGGTCTGTGAGAGCCAGAAATCTTGCTTGTTTGTAGGTGACCAAATACTTATTTTCCACCATAATTTGCAAATAAATTCATAAAAAAGCCTACAATGTGATTTTCTGGATTTTTTTCCCTCAATTTGTCTGTCATAGTTGACGTGTACCTATGATGAAAATTACAGGCCTCTCTCATCTTTTTAAGTGGGAGAACTTGCACAATTGGTGGCTGACTAAATACTATTTTCCCCCACTGTATTCATGAGTAGTAGGCTAGTGCTATATCTGTACCTGTCCATCAGTGGCTGTGTGACAATGGTGCTGTGTCTTTGGCTCTGTCTGCGGCGGTACAGTGGAGGAGCAGCAGGATGGAGGCCGGGGCGTTGTGTGGTGGAGGAGGATGACTCTAGCACGGTGCTGTGTCTCCTGAGGGGGGCTGCTGTTGGTCCGTTCCCCACCACCGGGCCCTGTTGGAACAGCCCACTGAGCCCCGCCACACGGCCCTTCTCTATAGCCCGCAGGGACTGGCGCTTGTACTCATCCCGCGCCCGCCTCGCTTTTCTCTGCATCTCCTGGTCAGCCATCTTAGAGCGCCGCACTGGAGGGATGAGATGGAGGAGAGAGAGGATTTGATAAGGAAGTTACTTTGCATTGGACTTTCACTATCAGATGTGTCCTGTAGTTCCACGAGAGCGCTTAACTGTAAAAGTTTGAGGATAAACAACAGAAGCTTTGGAGTTGATATTTAGGGAGGGACAGAGATGATATAAGAGGATGGTGTAAATCGAGTAAAAATGAGGGGTGGAGAATAGAAGGAGGTGATCACTGGAAAGGAAAACAGTTGTAGAGAGAACACAGGGAAGAGTTGATTTACGTTGCTCCTCCCATTCCTTGTCATTCTTCTCACTCCTTCTCTGTTCCTGCTCTAGGGAGATATACAGCTCCCTCGCTCTCTTCTCCTCCGCACGTTTTATCTCCTCCTCACCTTGCTGTCTCTCCTCCTCCTCTCGTTTCTGTCGGAGAAGAAATGTGTGAGGAATGGGAAACAAAGGACAGGCAGGTGTACACACCACATGCACACGCACACGCACACACAGACATGCACAGACAGACACGCACAGACACGCACACGCACACACAGACACACACACACTGCAGAGGTATTTGCATATCATTTTGTAATAAGACACATCAGTAATAATTGTCCTTAAGACAAAGTTAATCGTAAGACCCTTCGTAGGAGAATCGTTAAATCTCTGAGCTGTTTCCCAAAACCATCGTTACCAAAGTTGCACTTGAAAACACTCGTTATTTACAGACTGCCTCAGACCACTCTTAGAACAGTAGGTGCGTCGGTTTTTAGATAGTTTTTGGCCCTTCCACGGCACTTGTTGTTAATCTGTCACTCAGTGACCGCCGATAACTTCAGAATGAAGTTGACTACAAATACAAAGTTGGCAATGTATTTTTAATTTTTATTTTGTTTGTATTTTTAGGGGGTAGATCAGCTTTAATATTGCAGATAGATTGTATCTTCCAAATGTGTAATTGTCTGCATCACTTCCAATCCCCCAACAGTGCAGAGGCGACTCTGGGATGCTGACCTTCTAGGCAGAGTTGCAAAGAAAAAGTCCAGTGTCTGTGTTCTTTTGCCCATCTTAATCTTTTATTCTTATTGGCCAGTCTGAGATATGGCTTTTTCTTTGCAACTCTGCCTAGGTCAGCATCCCGGAGTTGCCTCTTCACTGTTGACATTGAGACTGGTGTTTTGCGGGTACTATTTCATGAAGCTGCCAGTTGAGGACCTGTGAGGCGTCTGTTTCTCAAACTAGACACTCTAATGTATTTGTCCTCTTGCTCAGTTGTACACCGGGGCCTCCCACTCCTCTTTCTATTCTGGTTAGAGCCAGTTTGCGCTGTTCTGTGAAGGGAGTAGTACACAGCGTTGTACGAGATCTTCAGTTTCTTGGCAATTTCTCGCATGGAATAGCCTTCATTTCTCAGAACAAGAATAGACTGATGAGTTTCAGAAGAATGTTCTTTGTTTCTGGCCATTTTGAGCCTGTAATCGAACTCACAATTGCTGATGCTCCAGATACTCAACTAGTCTCAAGAAGGCCAGTTTTATTGCTTCTTTAATCAGCACAACAGTTTTCAGCTGTGCTAACATAATTGCAAAAGGGTTTTCTAATGATCAATTAGCCTTTTAAAATGATCAAATTGGATTAGCAAACACAACGTGCCATTGGAACACAGGACTGATGGTTGCTGATAATGGGCCTCTGTACGCCTATGTAGATATTCCATAAAACATCAGCCGTTTCCAGCTACAATAGCCATTTACAACATTAACAATGTCTACACTGTATTTCTGATTAATTTGATGTTATTCTAATGGACAAAAAATTGCATTTCTTTCGAAAACAAGGAGATTTCTAAGTGACCCCAAACTTTTGAACGGTAGTGTATACAGTCGTGGTCAAAATATTTGAGAATTACACAAATATTAATTTTCACAAAGTCTGCTGCCTCAGTTTTTATGATGGCAATTTGCATATACTCCAGAATGTTATGAAGAGTGATCATATTAATTGCAATCATTGCAAAGTCCCTCTTTGCCATGAAAATGAATTTAATATCCCAAAAACATTTCCACTGCATTTCAGCCCTGCCACAAAAGGACCAGCTGACATCATGTCAGTGATTCTCTCGTTAACACAGATGAGAGTGTTGATGAGGACAAGGCTGGAGATCACTCTGTCATGCTGATTGAGTTAGAATAACAGACTGGAAGCTTTAAAGGAGGGTGGTGCTTGAAATCATTCTTCTTCCTCTCTTAACCATGGTTACCTGCAAGGAAGCACGTGCCGTCATCATTGCTTTGCACAAAAAGGGCTTCACAGGCAAGGATATTGCTGCTAGTAAGATTGCACCTAAATCAACCATTTATCGGATCATCAAGAACTTCAATTGTTGTGAAGAAGGCTTCAGGGCGCCCAAGAAAGTCCATCAAGCGCCAGGACCGTCTCCTAAAGTTGATTCAGCTGCGGGATCGGGGCACCACCAGTGCAGAGCTTGCTCAGGAATGGCAGCAGGCAGGTGTGAGTGTATCTGCACGCACAGTGAGGCGAAGACTTTTGGAGGATGGCCTGGTGTCAAGAAGGGCAGCGAGGAAGCCACTTCTCTCCAGGAAAAACACCAGGGACAGACTGATATTCTGCAAAAGGTACAGGGATTGGACTGCTGAGGACTGGGGTAAAGTCATTTTCTCTGATGAATCCCCTTTCCGATTGTTTGGGGCATCCGGAAAAAAGCTTGTCCGGAGAAGACAAGGTGAGCGCTACCATCAGTCCTGTATCATGACAACAGTAAAGCATCCTGAGACCATTCATGTGTGGGGTTGCTTCTCAGCCAAGGGAGTGGGCTCACTCACAATTTTGCCTAAGAACACAGCCATGAATAAAATAAAGAATGGTACCAACACATCCTCCGAGAGCAACTTCTCCCAACCATCCAAGAACAGTTTGGTGACGACCAATGCCTTTTCCAGCATGATGGAGCACCTTGCCATAAGGCAAAAGTGATAACTAAGTGGCTCGGGGAACAAAACATCGAAATTTTGGGTCCATGGCCAGGAAACTCCCCAGACCTTAATCCCATTGAGAACTTGTGTTCAATCCTCAAGAGGCGGGTGGACAAACAAAACCCCACAAATTCTGACAAACTCCAAGCATTGATTATGCAACAATGGCCTGCCATCAGTCAGGATGTGGCCCAGAAGTTAATTGGCAGCATGCCAGGGCGGATTGCAGAGGTCTTGAAAAAGAATGGTCAACACTGCAAATATTGACTCTTTGCATAAACTTAATGTAATTGTCAATAAAAGCCTTTGACACTTATGGAATGCTTGTAATTATACTTCAGTATACCACAGTAACATCTGACAAAAATATCTAAAAACACTGAAGCAGCAAACTTTGTGAAGACCAATACTTGTGTCATTCTCAAAACTTTTGACCTCGACTGTATATACATATCCTTAAAAAATATATATTTCCCTTTATTACTTTCCAACCCCACCACCCCTCCCCTAATTGGAGTAAACTAGTGAACAACAACGCTTAGGCCTTTACTTCCAGCTTATACATACTATATACATTTTATGGACACAGTCAATTTTACAATAATTCTATTTTGTTTGTTTTTACTCCTGAACTTCCTCTACCCTCAACCTCTCCGATCAGTTTCATGATGTCCATCCGGTTTCCTTCTACAGTGAGGGAAAATGTATTTGATCCCCTGCTGATTTTGTACGTTTGCCCACTGACAAAGACATGATCAGTCTATAATTTTAATGGTAGGTTTATTTGAACAGTAAGAGACAGAATAACAACAAAAAAATCCAGAAGAACGCATGTCAAAAATGTTATAAATTAATTTTGCATTTTAATGAGGGAAATAAGTATTTGACCCCTCTGAAAAACATGACTTAGTACTTGGTGGCAAAACCCTTGTTGGTAATCACAGAGGTCAGACGTTTCTTGTAGTTGGCCACCAGGTTTGCACACATCTCAGGAGGGATTTTGTCCCACTCCTCTTTGCAGATCTACTCCAAGTCATTAAGGTTTCGAGGCTGACGTTTGGCAACTCTAACCTTCAGCTTCCTCCACAGATTTTCTATGGGATTAAGGTCTGGAGACTGGCTAGGCCACTGCAGGACCTTAATGTGCTTCTTCTTGAGCCACTCCTTTGTTGCCTTGGCCGTGTGTTTTGGGTCATTGTCATGCTGGAATAACCATCCACGACCCATTTTCAATGCCCTGGCTGAGGGAAGGAGTTTCTCACCCAAGATTTGACAGTACATGGCCCCGTCCATCGTCCCTTTGATGTGGTGAAGTTGTCCTGTCCCCTTAGCAGAAAAACACCCCCAAAGCATAATGTTTCCACCTCCATGTTTGATGGTGGGGATGGTATTCTTGGGGTCATAGGCAGCATTCCTCCTCCTCCAAACACAGCGAGTTGAGTTGATGCCAAAGAGCTCGATTTTGGTCTCATCTGACCACAACACTTTCACCCAGTTCTCCTCTGAATCATTCAGATGTTCATTGGCAAACTTCAGAGGGGCCTGTATATGTGCTTTCTTGAGCAGGGGGACCTTGCGGGCGCTGAAGGATTTCAGTCCTTCACGGCATAGTGTGTTTCCAATTGTTTTCTTGGTGACTATGGTCCCAGCTGCCTTGAGATCATTGACAAGATCCTGCCGTGTAGTTCTGGGCGGAATCCTCACCGTTCTCATGATCATTGCAACTCCACGAGGTGAGACCTTGCATGGAGCCCCAGGCCGAGGGAGATTGACAGTTCTTTTGTGTTTCTTCCATTTGCAAATAATCGCAACAACTGTTGTTGTCACTCTGTCCATAAGGTGTAGATAGTAAGTATAGACCGGAAGTAGAGGCCTGGGCATTGTTGTTCACTAATTTACTCCAAGTAGGGAAAGGATGGTGGGGTTGAAAAGTAATAAAGGGGAGTATATATATATAAAAAAAAAAAAAACATGGGGGATTGGAAGTGATGCAGACAATTACATTGATAGAAGATACAATCCATCTGCAATATTAAGCTGATCCATTTCACCCCCCCCCCCCCCCAAAAAAAAAAACAACTGTTGTCACCTTCTCACCAAGCTGCTTGGCAATGGTCTTGTAGCCCATTCCAGCCTTGTGTAGGTCTACAATCTTGTCCCTGACATCCTTGGAGAGCTCTTTGGTCTTGGCCATGGTGGAGAGTTTGGAATCTGATTGATTGATTGCTTCTGTGCACAGGTGTCTTTTATACAGGTAACAAGCTGAGATTAGGAGCACGCCCTTTAAGAGTGTGCTCCTAATCTCAGCTCGTTACCTGTATAAAAGACACCTGGGAGCCAGAAATATTTCTGATTGAGAGGGGCTCAAATACTTATTTCCCTCATTAAAATGCAAATCAA